CATTGTTGGTTAATTGAATTCAGAATTTTGCAATATGAGATTATGATTTCAATTTTGATTTTTATAGATACAATCATGCAAGGCTTACAATTTTATGGGAAAGATGAAAACCATTGATTCTTTTTTCAAAAGAAAGAATGATGATGAAGAAACTCATAATGAAAATCAACAAAGTAAACATCACAAAACTTCAACAAGTGAGCCGCAACCGCAAGAACATGAAAATCAACAAGAGAATGATATTTTTGAAGCTACACAATCAAATCCTAATGAAGTGGATCTTAAAAATCTAGAAAGAGATCCCGCTAAATGAAAACAAATGTGGGAATATCCAGTTAATTTAAGGGAACAAGTAAGACGAGCTTATATGACTTTAGGACCTTTCCAAATACGTCTTCAAGAATATCATGCTAAAGGTTCAAAGAAACATCCTCGTAGATTCCAATATTCTTGGTTCAACATTTTCCCTAATTGGTTAGAGTATTCTACAACAACACATGCTTCTTATTGTTTTATTTGTTATATATTTAATGATAAGCCAAGTGTGTGCAATGGGTTACGATGCATTTACTGTTAAAGGATTTGACAATTGGAAAAAAGTTCATGATGGGAAAAAGTGTGCATTCATGAAGCACTTAGGTTGTTCACAACATAGAAATGCTGTTACATTTGCTGAAAACTTGATGAATCAAGCAACACACATTGAAAATATCATAGTGAAGCAAAATGAAGCACAAATACTGAAGAATCGTTTACGATTAAAAGCTTCAATTGACACAGTTCGTTGGATGACATTCCAAGCTTGTGCTTTACGAGGCCATGATGAAACGCCTAATTCCAAAAATCGAGGTAATTTTCTTCAACTACTAAAACTTCTAGCATCTTATAATGATGAAGTTGCAAATGTTATATTAGAGAATTCTCCTTATAATTCAAAGTATACTTCTGGAGATATTTAAAAAGAACTTCTTAGTATTATTGCAAATAAAGTTCGGAAGCATATTCGTAGTGAAGTCGGGGATTCATACTTTTGTGTCATGGTTGATGAGTCATGATATGAGTCTAAAAAAGATCAAATAGCCATAGTTTTGAGATTTGTTGATGGAGAAGGGATCATACGGGAAAGGTTCTTGGATTTGGTTCATGTTAGGGACACCTTATCATTAACCTTGAAAACAAATATGCAGACCTAACTTTTGCACTATCAGTTTGATCTTAGTAAAATTCGTTGCCAAGGTTATGATGGTGCTAGGAATATGAGAGGGGAATGGAATGGATTGCAGGCACTTGTTCTTAAGGATTGTCCTTATGCGTATTATGTTCACTACTTCGCTCACAGATAACAACTAGCATTGGTGGCTGCTTCAAGGGAAATTATTCCTATACACCAATTTTTTACAAACTTAATTTTTATAATTAATGTAGTTTGTGCTTCTAGTAAACGACATGATGAGTTACAAAAGGCAAAGGAAACTGAGATTGAACATTTATTGGAACTTGGTGAAATCGAATCAGGTAAAGGATTGAATCAAGTTGGGACATTAAGAAGAGCTGGTGATACATGTTAGGGTTCTCATTTTCGTTCGATTTGCAGTTTGCTTAACATGTTTGATTGTAATAGTGTTGTTCTCCAGGGAATAATTGATGATGTATCTACTACTTATTCTCAACGCGGAGATGCTGATGTAGCTTACTGTTTCCTGAAATCATTTGAGTTTGTTTTTATTCTTCACTTGATGAAAGAAGTAATGGGAAAAACTGATATACTTTCTCAAGCTCTACAAAAGAAATCCCAAGGTATTCTTAATGCCATGGAGTTAGTTTCAGCAACAAAGGAGAGTCTAAATGATTTCAGGAACAACGGATGGGATTCTTTATTTGCACAGGTAAAGTTATTTTGTGAAAAACATCAAGTAGATTTGCCGGATATGAAAGCTCCATATACTTCTACTCGATACCGGTCTCGAAAAAACGATAATCATGTTACTTTTGAAAATTTTTATCGAGTAGATTTGTTTACATCCACATTGGACAAATAGTTACATGAGTTGAATAGTAGATTCAATGATCAAGCGATGGAGTTGTTAAGTCTTAGTTCTACTTTAGTTTCAAAAGAACACCCTAAAGTGATTAACATTGATCAGATTTGTCTTCTCGTTGAAAAGTATTATCCTAAAGATTTTACGGAGCAAGAGAGAATTCAATTACGATATCAATTGGAGATTTTTAATATCGATATGAAAAAGAATCCCAAGCTAAGTGGTGTATCAACTATTGCTGACATATGCAAGGGTCTTGTAGAAACTCAGGAACGTAAGACATATTATTTGCTTGATAGAGTGGTTCGGTTAATCTTGACACTTCCAGTTTCTACCGCAACAACAGAGAGGGGCTTTTCAGCAAAGAAAATATTCAAGAACCGCCTTCGCAATAAGATGTCAGATGACTTTCTCGCAAACAACTTGGTGGTTTACATAGAAAGAGAAATTGCTGAAAACATTGATACGAAGTCAGTAATTGATGAATTTAAAGACCTTAAAGGTCGCCGGGTCTGAGTTGTAATTCTTCTTTTAGGTATTTTTTGTGTTTAGTTGAAGAAAAAAAATTGGTTTTTTTTTATGTGTAAGAACCGTAATTATAGGTATTTTTGGTGTTTAATTGCTGGAAAAAATGGTTATTTTATGTGTAAAAACGTTAAATTTAGTTTTCTAATACTTTCGCCCCCCCCCCCCCCCCCCCCAAATGAATCGTTCAAGCTCCGCATCTCTCCACAACCAGACAAGGAACAGGAAATAAGGCGGAATCACGCACTCTAAGCCTATAGGTTCTTAATTATATACGACCCTAATGTTTACACTAAGCCATTATAGTTTACCTGTAAAGATACTTAGTTTTATATGAATGATGTGCTTTGTTTGGACGAGGGAGCAGCTTACGGTTATGATTTAGTTGGTAACGGTTTTCGCAAAAAATTAAGTTTTACAAAATATTTTTATTTGGAAAACGTATCGCTGTTCTCAGGTGTTTCCGGGATAGTCTCTCCTGCGGTTATCATCAACACTCTTCCATCTTCGCCGGAGTTCCTTGCCATTGGACATTCTCTCTTGTAGTGTCCCGTTTCGCCACACTCGTAACAGGTCTGGCTTACTCCGTCATATGGGACCTGGGAGATTGGTCGTGATGTGCCCTGTAGAAACGAATAGTATGTCCCTTCCTGAGGCACTTCTTGCAATACATCTTACGACACACTCCGGTATGATGGAGGTTGCACTTGTTACATTTCGGGAGGGTTCCAGCATATCGACTGTCGGGTGCTGGAGTGGCTGCTGTCGTGGCAGCATGAACCGCAATCATCTGTGGTCCATTTGAGGGCTCTTGTGTTGACTGTCTTTTCTTCTTGCTCCCATATTTTTGTTTATCGTCTCTTTCTTTGGTTGACTCATGAACGGGGGTCATTATGCCTTGGCGGACTCCATGGTCCACCAGTGTTCGAGCCAGATGCTTGGCACTGTCGAATGTAAGGGGTTTCGCTGCTATCACATTTCCTTGGATTGGAGGAGGTAGTCCTCAAATGTATCTCTCTACCTTCCTGCTCTTCGGGGTAACCATCCCACGGCATAGCGCGGCTAAATCGTTGAATCTATTGGTGTAGGCTACTATGTCCGAGCCTACCATGGTAAGGTTCCACAGCTCTTGCTCTAGCTTTTGTATCTCATCCCTCGGGCAATACTCTTCCAACATCATTTCTTTTAGATTCCCCCAGCCCATCATGTTTTCCACTGGTAGGGTCGGTGACTTGACATTGCTATTCCACCATGTCAGGGCTCTGTCAGAGAGGGTGCAGGCAGCAAACTTCACTTTGCTCCCTTCTGGGCATGCGCATATCTCAAAAATCAACTACGTTTTCTCGAACCATCGCATTAGGGCGATGACTCCCCTACTTCCATCGAAGGATTTGGGTCCACAATTCATGGAGTCTTTGTACGAACACTCTCTAGTGTGTCCGTGGCTCTCCCTGTGGTTACAATTGTTAGTACCACTACCCGATCCACTGGTATCACTTGCGTGGATTTGAATCATGACAGTTGTCAGTGCGGCTGTTACTGCAGCCTGAAAGACAACCGGATCATACGGTGGAGGTGGTGGTGCGTTGTTTTTGTTTCTGTTCGACTTCTTCGGTGGCATCTTTCTGCTATAAGGTTTAAAAGATGAAACGGTGGTAAGCCTTTAGTAATGGTTACAAGTCGAGTGTTATTTGAATCCAAGTTATCTTAGTTCTGAGTGTATCATGTTCTGACATTTGAAAGCAATTCATAACAGAGGTCTATGTATAATAGACTTATGAATTTTTAGTAGTATTCACCCTTTAAGTGAAACCCTGTGATCTGGGTTACTGTTACTAGCTGTTACTGAAGTGACGATAAGCCTAACACCTAATGTGAGTAGCGTAATCACTGACTCACTAACTTAGGTTAATTGGTTAATTATTAGTGTGATGCATAAGGTGCTTTACCACCTCGCACGCTTCGTGAGTGGGTTTCTCTGTTTTCTGTCCTAGTTATGATTGCCTTGGTTTTAGCTGTGGGAATTTGGTGTCTCTCAACTTTGGTAAAGTGTTCTTGTTCTCCAAGAAAACTACGTCAAATCTGCTGCGTCCACAACAAACACCAGTCAAACTTGTTATCTAAGAAAACTACGTCAAATCTGATAAACAGAGTTAGGATTAGAATGAACCATATCCTCCTACTTAAATCTACTTAAATGGCATGAGTCTTAATAAAATATGTTGTGACTTGTGAATAATGTAAATGAACAAATAAATATTTGCGTTCTTGAAAAATCGCTCAAAGTAAAGTAAAGTAAAAAAACAAATAATAATAAAATAAAATTGTCTTTTTTACCGATTAGTTTTAAAGACAAAAGCTTTTTTGTTTTCATGTGAAGGAAATATTTGTATTTATTTAAAAATAATCGCCACCCAATGGCCTTGATATCATAAACACAAGATTTGAATCGAGTAAAAACCTCTTTCGCAATCAACTCTATCTTTTCCCAATTTCCAACCTTCCCTTTTTCTTGTTGAAATCTCTTCAACACCCATTTTCGCAAACAATTATTGGGGAATAAATTCTTTACAATCATGAGTCATAAGCATTTATGTGAACTGTTAAGAGAAGATCAAGAACCATTTCAGCTCAAGAATTACATCGCCGACCGCCGTTGTCAGCTCAAATCTACAACCACCAGAGACACCGCTCTTAACCCCAGAAAACGAAAACCCTTAATCCAATCCACATCTGCTTCCACCACCGCTCGTAATTTCTGCATCAACCATGTCTGTCTATTATCGTTCCATGATTCGCCGGATGTTAGGAAATCGCCGTTTCTTGATTTCTCGTCGCCGGCGATTAAGAGCCCGTATAATGGCAGAAGTCCCAACAACGCCACCGTCTTCCTCCATATTCCATCCAGAACCGCCGCCATGCTACTCGATGCCGCCATGAGGATCCAAAAGCAGAAGAAGCCTACTTACAAACCCAAATCCGATTCATCCAGGAATGCTGGGTTTGGGTTATTCGGATCTCTTCTCAAGAGGTTGAAGGATCGGAGAACGCGAATAAAACGCCGTGAAATCAGCTTATCTTCACCGCTGACGAGCAGAAACCGGAAAAGCGACGTCGTCGGAAGTGGTTGCTCATATAATAATAATACCAACAGGCTTACTAGTGCAGATTGGTCGGAAAAGTCGTCGGATTTGGAGACTTCATGTAGTTCGTGGTCTATTCATGATTCAGAAGAGATTGAATTTATGGGTGAAAATGACTGTTTTGCTTCCACTGAAAAGTGCTTCTGCTCAAGCCCTTCAAGTCCTTTTCGTTTTTCTCTTGAAAAAAGCCCTTCCTCTGGCCGCCGGACACCGGATTTCATTTCGCCGGCGACGTCTCCAGCTCACCACCTGCAACAGGTTTTGGCTTTCATTCATTTCTACACATGTTTTTAAAAAAATTAATTTTTTACGTTTTTTAAGTGGAAGTAATCACTTTAGTTTAAACTTTAAACACGCTTGAAATTGCTAAAAGACCTAGTCATGGTTGACTGAGTCAACTCGTTAACACAGTTGAGGATCTTGGTGTCATGTAGAGAATCTGGGTGTGGATGTGGTTTCTGATTTCCATGGCAGAAATATGTGAAATGACAAAAACGCCCATGATCGACAAGGCGACATTGAACCTAATAGGGGTGTTTATGCCATTTACTATGTATACACTGCCACAAAATCTTCACTTAAAACAAATCTTGTCTATTGTCTAAAGATTAATAAAATTCCCAAAAAGGACAAAGCAAAAATTTGGCTTTACATTTAGATACATCCATATTGATAAATCCAAACACACTTTAATCGCATGTAGAAAGCAAAGTCAGCATAACTTTTCAAGATTCACCTAGCACTTTTCTAATTTCAAAATATGCCCTTGAAATTCAAAAAGTGTTACAATTTGGTCACTTTTTTAGGAGAAAGAAGATTGCCAAAATGAGAAATCTCAAGAAATTAATTTTCAAGAGGAGGATGATAAGGAACAATGCAGCCCGGTTTCAGTGTTGGATCAATTGTTTGAGGATGATGAGGAAGGTTATGATCTTGAATGCAGTTATGACAACGTTCAGAGTAAGTGAAAATTTTAAACTTAATATAAAAAAACATGTGTTTTTACTAATTTATCGATTTATCCATTTAACCGAATTTTCATAATAGTTAAATAATTCCATTTTTTTTACTGCTTAAGAAAATCATTTTTTTTTCTGGGTTATCTGAATTTGATAACAAAACAAAAAAACAAAAAACATTGGTGATTTCACAATTTTATTAAAGAAATTAAATATCCTTTCTATTTTTCTTTCTACGTATGTTCCTACTAATTTAAAATAATGATAATTGTATTAAAATATTATTAATTTTATCTAAATATGACATATGTCACTATTTTTACATGAGTATGGTTAGGAAGATAAGTAGGAAGAAAAGTCTATTAAGGGAATGATAAAAATAATTATGTGCTTCGAATATAAGTTCGAATATAAGATGGTAAAAATATTTTCTACTTTTTGACATTTTGTCTTTCTTCAATAGCATGTATATATGAAAAATAAAATAAAATTTTGATGGGCTAATCGATAAAATGGTAAATATATTGTTTTGTATTTTCTACCTTATTTAAAACAACCACGAAATGTTTTTTTAACCGTTAAAAAATATAATGATTTAATCATTACACAAAACAAATTTGGGATTAAAAGCACTCCAAAAAGAATTGCCCAATAACGAATCACGAATATATAATTCAAAAAGAAAAATTAATGCACAAAACAGTTAAATAAATAAATTAATAATATCATATATATATAAACAATTAAACATGTTTGTCTCTTTCACCAAATCTATTTGATGACAATGGAAAATTATTCGTGGGATCCATTCATACTTACAGCACCTGATGGTTGTACATTTTGAATCGATAATATGATTACATTTTGACTATAAAATGCTAGTTTAACATATACGCATACAAGGCAATAAGACATTGGGCTTATATAATAGTTTCCCTTTTTTATAGAATTATTTACTAATTAATATTACAATAAATTATAAAAAGCTCTAAAATATATTATTTACTATTTTTTTTTTCAAAGTACACTTACATTAACTATTTTTAATACTGTTTATTTGTAATATTGTTTTGTAACTTTATTGTCATATGTACTATTTACTAACTATTTATATTATATAAAAAAAGTGTTCATAAAATGTTTAATGTTATAACTTTTTAACCAAAAAGAATCGATGAAAAAGACCGACCCCTACTGAAATTTTTGTGACACTGAGCTCTCAGTACTAAAGGACGAATAAAACTTTAGCCAAGCACACACTCTCTCTCCTTAGTTAATATATTAATAAATAATATCGAGTCATTACAAATTTAGTCCCTACGCTTTCCAAAAAATACAAGTTCTGTCCAAATTTTCAAAATTTATGAATCTTCATAGTGTCGAGCTTCGTATTTCATTGCGGATACGGTCCGTTCCCCATATAAAAATAACTTCAAAATACGGAAAAACTTGCAATTTTGAGTAAAGTATAGGGACTAAATCCGCACGAAAATACAAAATTTGGACTAAATTGCAATTTCGTGTAAAGCAAAGGGATCAAATCCGGTTTTGGATTTATTAATTTGGGTTTTACGTACTATTTTGATTGGTTTTTTTTGACAAAGTCATATTTTTTTTTTTGAACAGAAAAGTCCCGATTATTTAATATTTTGTCAAAATTAACGAAAAAATCCTTATTTTTATTTTAATAGGAAATGACAAATTATCGTGTAAAATTAAATTAACGAGATTTTTATGTTCAATTTTTTTTAAGACTATCAAAAAAAAAATTCCAAAATAATTGAGATTTTTTTTTTTTTTTTTTTTTTTTTTTTTGCATAAAACCTTTATTAGTTTTTAAATAGATTAAGACTAATTTCGGTAAATTTAAACCAGTTTCAATAGGACCATTTTGACTAACTTTACATTTGAAGTTGCACGTTCTAGCTCTGGAAAAGTAGTACCTTTTATATATGATCTGTCACATAAAGACAGTGGAACCCATTGAAACTATATGAAATGCCAGATCTACCCTTTTCTATTTTAAATTTGAATTCAACTTTGTAAAATTCTATATTTGTATCATATGACCAAAATCTTTGTGGGGTCAACTTTACAGGAGCAAAACATAAACTTTTACAAAAACTCCAAAGATTCGAGAAGCTCGCAAAGTTGGATCCAATCGAACTTGAAAAACACATGTCAGAACAATATGGTGATTGCATTGAAGAAATTGAAGAAGAAGATGATGAAGAGATTGTTTTAAGTGAAATCTTCAACATTTTAGGCTTTAAAAACATTCCTACGCATATGAAAAAGCTTGTTTCAGATCTAATTGTGGAAGAAAGAAAGAATGAGATGGAATTGGAAGTGATTGTGAAAAGGGTTGTTAGAAGAATGGAATCATGGAAAATGGTGGAATCAAACACGATTGATATGATGGTGGAATTGGATTTTAGAAAAGAGAAAAGTGAAGGGTGGAAGAGATTTGATGATGAGAAGATTAGAGAGACTGGAATGGAGATAGGTGTCGCCATTTTTGGGGACTTGACGGAGGAATTAGCTCAAGAACTTGTTAGAGTTTAGTTGACTAATTACATCTTTGATCAAAGTCTAAATAAAAATTTTGTCTACTTTATGAAGTAAATTAGAGTGTGTTTTTAATTATTATACTTGTTATTTTGTTGTAAAATAAGTATTGTATTTGTAAAAATATAAAAAGGACACCGAAGCATGTAATTTTTTTGTGTATCTCATGCAAAAAAAGTACAGGCTTTTTGGTGTTCTTTTGGTATTTTTGTAGATACACCGACAATTTTGCAACGTAAGTTTAAAATGCATTTAATTCGCTTCCGTGATGTAATATCTTTTTTTGGAACTATAGTTCAACTTGTTAGGAGCTTTTATATATATCTCGTTACAAATATTGTATTAAGTTGAAGCATTAGTGTATAAATTAGTAAATGAATGAGAATATCTTTCTATTTTTCTTCCTAATTATCTTTTTATCTGTGTAAAATAATGATAATTGTCTTAATATATTATTAGTTTTATCAAAATATAATCTTTGTCTCAATTTTATATCGGTATGAAGATAAATAGAAAGAAAATATAGAAGGATAATTAATTTTTCGTAAAAAAATATAGGGAAATTGAATAATCTAACTTAAGATGTTAAAAACCACTATACGACTCGACCATGTGGGACCCGTTTTTATACAAGAGTATTTTTACAATTTTTTTGGTTTTGTGGACGGGATTGGGGTCAGGTACTACTCCCATTTAGTTTTTGGGGGCGGTGGCGGAACGTTCCGTCCTGAAGACCCCGCAGAGGTCTCGAAATAATTATCCTATATTTTTATTTATAAAAATAAATATTAAACTTAGAATACTCATTGTGAAATGTATGTTTTATATTTTGATAAAAAAATTAAAAAATATTATATTTTATGGTAAAAATGACCAATTAATCCGAATGGACACCTACTTATTATTCACACCCCTTTAGACTTTTAAAAAATATTATATTTTATGGTAAACATATTTTACATAAACTTAAATATGTTTTAAATAGTACTACAAATGGACACCTACTTATTATTCACACCCCATGCAATTTATGTTATCCGCTTTCAAAATGAGATGACCCAGGTTTTTTTTTTGGTTGAACCTCTATCTTGAAAGATTTTCCAGCGAGCAACATCTTTGAGAATCAACATAAGAACACTTCACAATCCATTTTACCGCCAGACTGTTGTGGTACATCTGCGTTATTTACGAAAGTCGTTTTAAAAGTCTAAAGGGGGGGGGGGGTTTACATCAACGAGTTTGGTACCCTAATAACTGATACCAACTAGGAGTTTATGATACGAGCTTATATAGCTATAAATCAAGATTCATTTTCTAAACAATAATCATCCACCCAGTAACTATCGTATATAGTCATTGTGAATGTCTTAAAATCCCAAACTCCCAAAAACTAGTGGGCATGCGATATATTGATAGGGATGTAAGGCTACACAAAAGGTTGGAATTAAGTAATCATCATACAACATTTTCTTATAAATGACTATTACTCATGTATTGACCATGAAACATAAGTATAATATATTGTATCAAGAATCATTAGACATTTTACGCCAATCCTCTACATCTGTGTTGAAAGTTGTCGGTACAAATGTCCACCGAGCATCATCCATTCTTCGCTCTATCTTTAACGAAATCCACAACACGATGTATTATTAATCAACATATGTGCACAATAAAGTAACCGAAGTGAATTTTTAATATGTAATGATCACATACGTATATAACTGTTAGTCCCTAATCTGCTTGTGTATCAATCAGATCCGTTTGATGGTGCGGAATCCCAATCAAACGGATGATGTCAGATCAAATAGAAGAGAATGAGAAGAAGAAGATGATGAATCTTGTATGTATTTATACGAATGAAGATCCGGATACAAGATTCACACACACTAACACACACTCTCTTTTCTCTAGTTTCTCTCTCTAGAACACCTTCAAATGCACACACTTAAGCTCCTCTAGTGTTCTCATTGTTTTTCCACACTTCAAAGCGTCAATTTCTTCAATTATATCAGCAAGACTAAGACGATTAAGATCTTTTGGCTTCTTGATGACAACCACGCTCTTATCCCACGATTTCGGAAGTGAATTCAACAGCTTTTTGTTTATCTCAGATTTAGTCAAGAAAATCCCAGCTATATTCATCTCAGTAGTAAGTGTAGTAAATCGCTGCAACTGAGCTTCCAGGGATTCTCCAAGGATATAATCGAACATGTTGAATATTTGTCTTAACATATCCTGACTCTCTTTCATGTCTTCATTTCCCTTGTTGACCTCAAAAGCCATTAAAAGTCAAATTTAAAGAGTCAAGCTTAAAAGTCAAACCCAAAAAAATGCCCTTTGACTATAAACCTCAAAAGTCAACCTTAAAAGTCAAATTTAAAAAGTCAAACTCAAAAGTCAAACCCAAAAAAATTCCCTTTGACTATAAACCTCAAAAGTCAACCTTAAAAGTCAAATTTAAAAAGTCAAACTCAAAAGTCAAACTTGAAAAGTCAAACTTAAAAGTCAAACCGAAAAGCTAAATTTGAAAATTTAAAAGTTAAACGAGAAAGTCAAAGTTTAAAGTCAAAGGTCAAACTTGAAAGTCAAAGTCAAAATTTTAAGGTCAAAGGTCAAACTTGAAAGTCAAAGTCAAAATTTTAAGGTCAAAAGTTAAAAAATAAAGTCAAAAATTATAAACTAAATTTTTTGGGTTGAAAATGGAATTTTAAAATAAAGAAAATTGATTTTTGGGTTAAAAATGTAAAAAATGCGAAATTAGGAACGAAAGGGAGTGCTTTTGAATTAAAACTGGGAGGGAAGGAACAAAGGCGTCACTAGAGGAGTTGGTAAAGCGCTGGGTTCCTCAAGCAGAGGTCGCAGGTTCGATCCCCGACACCCCCAATCCGTTTCAATATTTTTAATGCGAAGCTGCTGCTTGCGAAGATAGCTGCGAAGCGAGGACGAGGCGCGTGTGTGAAGCTGCTGTGCGAGGCGAAGATGCGATGCGAGGCTTGCTGCTGCTGAGCCGACTTCCCTAGCCGTTCACCGAATTCCGAGCCGAGGCCGCAAACTCCGGCGACCGTAAACTGCCGACCGTAAACTCCGGCGACCATAAACTGTTTACGGCCGTAAACTCTGGACCGTAAACCCTTCAAGGACCGTAAACTCAGCTTCAGATCGCGAAAAAAACGGCGTTTTTCACCATTTTTGCTCCAAAACTCGATCAAAAACTCGTTTTTACGAAAAACGCGAAGAACAAACCCCTCCTAATTTTCAGAGATCTATCCAAAAACGCAAGAATCTTTCCAAAATAAGATCAAATCGGCTCCAGATCTGAAAAAATTGACTGATACACTCCAAGCTCTGATACCAATTGTAAGTCCCCAATCTGCTTGTGTATCAATCAGATCCGTTTGATGGTGCGGAATCCCAATCAAACGGATGATGTCAGATCAAATAGAAGAGAAGGAGAAGAAGAATAATATGAATCTCAATGTATTAATGAATAGAATGATGATCCTTTACATTAGATTCACACACACTAAAACACACTTGTTCTTCTCTCTAGTTTCTCTCTCTAGAACACCTTCAAATGCACACACTTAAGCTCCTCTAGTGTTCATCCTTCACATGCACTCCTCACCCTATATATATATGGACCTAAGGCCAAGCCCAAAATACAAATAATCCAATGCTCGGTCCAAGCTACAATTAATCCTATACTATTTTTGGCCCAAATAATAAAAACAATAAATGCTTAGAAAAGCAAAGTATAAACCATATTTTTGACCCAACAATAACTTACATCACATTCCAACCAGCCTGAGTCATAGTCTCCATATAAGCCCGTCCAAAAGTCCATCGTCGGAATATAAATGAGAAAAGGATGGCGAAACCCTAGTGAAATATGTAACGTCCCAAAGTCCCAGACTAAATTTTTCATTTTTAAAATAATAAAAACATCCATTTTAATACAATTAGATTCGGGGCAACCATTTGTTCATAAACCATTATTCAGAAATCTAAGTTAAAGAAGACAATGCCCAAAATACAAATAATCCAATGCTCGGTCCAAGCTACAATTAATCCTATACTATTTTTGGCCCAAATAATAAAACAATAAATGCTTAGAAAAGCAAAGTATAAACCATATTTTTGACCCAACAATAACTTACATCACATTCCAACCAGCCTGAGTCATAGTCTCCATATAAGCCCGTCCAAAAGTCCATCGTCGGAATATAAATGAGAAAAGGATGGCGAAACCCTAGTGAAATATGTAACGTCCCAAAGTCCCAGACTAAAATTTTCATTTTTAAAATAATAAAAACATCCATTTTAATACAATTAGATTCGGGGCAACCATTTGTTCATAAACCATTATTCATAAATCTAAGTTAAAGAAGACAATGCGGAAACTTAAATCATAAATCTGTTGATGTGTGTATAGTCTCGCCTTCCCAATCCGATAAGTACCTGCAAAATATTTAATCCACAACTGTAAGCACAAATATTAGCGAGTTCCCCAAAATATCTCATACATTATAGCATAATAATCAACTATGGGTTATCAACAACCCTGAGCACTATCTATTAATGGTCCTAGTGGGCTAACAACACGCCTTGTGGATTAACAGCACACCTCACGGGTTATCAGCAGTCCCATAGACTCACAATAGTCCAGGAGTTATTTGTACCTCATTTCGCATATAACAACTATCTACAATTAAGACCGAGCTGGTCAACATGCACATACTACCACACATACAAGTATAGTGAGAGGACTCACCTCGCAAGTAGCAGCTAAACATCACAACTTTCACACACAGGGTAGACAGCTACAACGAGACACCTACAAAAAATAAAGAAGCACCCTCTCAGTCTACACCCTAAAGCCATATTTTGACCAAAAGTCAACCATGGTCAAAAGTCAACGATCAAAGTCAAATTCAACACCCAACAATACTAACAATTGGACCTTACGTCGTGACCAACCCTTGGTCATGTCGTGAGAATGCACTCAGCCTGATTCCAACTCGACCACACTCGAACTTAGCTAAATTAGTCACAGACAACCGAATAGCCGATGTCACGACGCGAGCCTTCCATGGTCATGTCGTGAACACATCCAGACAAATTAGTCGAGGGACCTCCC